GGGAGGGCGGGCCGCCCTGTCGCGCGCAGGAGGAAGGAGTAGCCCGCGGAACGCGCCGGCTGGCTGGGCAGTGCCTTTTCCAGCGTCAGAGGGCGTGGCCTGGGAGGGGTACCCCCAGTGGACGGTGCCTGAAAGGCGGAGAAGCCAGCCCCCCGCCGGGCGATTCAGGCAGATGCGCCATGGCCGCGGGAGCCCTTCGCCTGTCCAGCTTGGTGCTCCTGCTCGGTGAGTGCGGCCTCCCCGAGCCCCGCGGGCCTGGGCAGCGCCAGGGTGCCTTGGGCTCCAGGACTTGGCGGCCCGGTCGAAGGCTGGGGCGCGAGGCCACTGCGAGTGGCTTCCCGGGTGGGGCTCGGGGTGCGGGTGCGGAGGAACGCAGCGAACCTTACCCGGGAGGGGCCGTGCCGCGCGCACGCCACGGCTCCTTGGGCTGGGCCCGGAGAGACGGGGCGGTGGCACCTGAATCGCTTCGGGGAGGAGAGGGACGGGACCCCGGCGCACCCCCCAACCCATCCCTCCACCCCCGACCTCGCGCGCCGGGGCGGCGCCCTGCTCCTTCCCTCTCCCGAGCTCCTCCTAAGCCCGCCCGGGCGCGCCCCTTCCGAAGGGAGCGGCTGTTGCCCTGACTCCAGTGCAAGTTACTTCTGAGCCTACGGGCGGGAGGCTCCCGGAACTTGAACCGACTTTCTCGCTCTCGGGTACCCGGCGCCCTGGCCCCACCGGCGTTGGCGGGCCGCCCCCGAATCCCCAAACTCCCGAGGCGGCGACTCTGAGTGGCCCTCCGGGGGGCAGGGGAGAGAAGTGTCCGTTGCGTTGGCCTCACTTAACGATTCCTAAGTAGGGCCTCCCCTCTCCCTTCAAAGCATAAAAGACTCACAGGAGCTGCCTTCATTGAACCCTGTTATTCTTCGTCTAAAATCAATCGTCACAGCAGCCCCATCGCATCGATATCTTTGTCTCCATTGTTATCGCGCCAGCCTCGGAGACCCCTCTGCTCACGGGCCCCTCGTGACACTTACTGCCAACCCCCTGGAGCGCGGTGATGTGCTTCACCAGCCTTTCCCCATGCCCAGGGCTTCCCATGGCGGCCGGTTTGCACATCCTTCCAGACGAATCTTCCCTCTCCTTCCGCACTCGGCATTTACCGAGTGCCTGTGGGGTACGGAGGGAAGTGTTCAGTACCTATTGAGAAATCAGTTATCTTTTGTGGAAGAAGGACTTTGCGGGAGGGATGGCATTTGAACTTGGCCTCTGGGGACCGCAGGCTTGTGGATGTGCTGTGATTGGGCGAGCAGGTGAGAAAGGCAGGGCCGCGGAGTGGAGTGGAGTGTGCAGGTGAGCCCGGGCATGCCGTGTCCCTGTAGAGTGAGTGTGCCCACTCGGGCTCCAGGCCCCATGGGGAGCCCTGAGTGGGAGTCCCCTTGGGAGTTTAGATTCTCTTCTGCAGACAAAGGAGAACTCTGTCCGGGCCTGTCAGGCGCAGAACCATGCTCTTAGGAGGAGTAAGCTGGCCGCAGCAAAGAGGAAGGACTGCGGGGGGAGAGGAATTGGAGGCAGGGAGGCCAGGGCGAAAAGAGCTGGGAGGGCTCCAGAGGCCGGTGGCTGTGCAGAGGGAGGAGACTCAGACAGAGCTTCAGTGGTTGGAGTGACTCCTCCAGATGAGCTGATCTCTCCCTGGTCCCAGAATGCACCCCTCACCTGAGTCATAACATCTGTGAGTTACCTACCTTTCCTGTGCGTCAGTATCTTTTTTTTTTTTTTTTTTTGGTGCGTCAGTATCTTTGCCCTTAAAATGCCGGGGTTCTTGTTCCAGCATCTAGAAGGGTTCAGCAATCTGGAGAAGGGGCTGTGTGTAACTTAAAGAGTCCAGAGACAAAATATAATTTTGAAAGGCATATTGGGGGTCAGAGGAGCCTAGCTAACGAAACTAAGTTCTCCTCGTTTCAGGACCCCATGCTTTTTATTAACACAAATTGTCCTGAGGCGAGGCAGAGATATACAGTTCAAAGGGTCAGGGTTTCCTATACAGAGTCCATTGTCAGAAGGGGCTGTTCAGGTGTTTGGCCAGTAGGAGGCAATAACATGTAGATTAAGATGCCCTGAGCTGTCTGGCAGCAAACAATCGATTTAATGCATCCTTTTCAGGTTTGGGGAAATGCCCTGGCCACTCCAGATGATCCAGCCCTGCTGAGCATGCTGGAATTGGCTCCTGGGATTAAAAGGATATTGACAGCATCAACTTCATAGAATAGTTGCTAACACTCAATAGTAAATACTTAGCTGAGTGCCAACTTTGTGTCAGGCACTGTACAAGGACCAGGGATGTGGACGCAGCAAGTAAGACTTCCCTGACTTTGAGAGGCGTACATTGTAGTGGGGGGACAGTAAATAAGGAACAAAGTAAATATATAGACACAGGGTGGTGGAAAAGTAGACATTTACAAATCCGTAGTGCTGAGGAAAGGGGAGGGGAAGTGGTCAGCATTTCTTCTTAAGTTATTAATCCTTAAGGGCATTTAACATCTTTAGAATAGTTGCCACAATAGTACCCTATGAACACGTGTACACTTTTCTCCTGGAATCACCAGTTAGTGACATTTTGTTACATTTGATTTACTGCTCTCTCTCTCTCTTTATACACACACGCATGTACTAAAATTTATTTTTACGCTGAGCCATTTGAGAGTTGCAGTTCTTATGACACCTTACTCCTAAATATTTCCATGTGTGTCTTCTTTTTTTAAAAAATATATTTTATTGATTTTTTTTTACAGAGAGGAAGGGAGAAGGATAGAGAGTTAGAAACATGGATGAGAGAGAAACATCGATGAGCTGACTCTTGCACACCCCCTACTGGGGATGTGCCGCAACCAAGGTACATGACCTTGACCGGAATCGAACCCGGGACCCTTCAGTCCGCAGGCTGACGCTCTGTCCACTGAGCCAAACCAGTCAGGGCTCCGTGTGTGTCTTCTAAGAACCCCGTGTCTTTCGTAAGACACAGAGCCACTGTCGCAGGAAATACTGCTTCCCTGTTTTGTCCGAGAGCCCAGAAACTAAAGATGACTCACCCTGCATTTGGAAGGCATGCCTCTTTCATCCCCCTTAACCTAGAACTGTTGCTAACTTTTTCATTTTGTTTCTTATTCTTTATGACATCACCATTTTTGAAGGGTCCGGAGCAGTTATTTTATAAAATGTCCCTCGGTTTGGATCGTCTGTGTCCTCGTGATCAGATACTTTGTCGGGCAGGGATTTTTATGTGTTGGGGGGCGGGGCCTGGGAATTTTTGTAGGTGTGAGGTGTCCTCAGCGCATCTCGTCAGCGGCAGGTACAGTCCGGTTGCCCATTATGGGGGATGTTAACGTCAGTTATTTGGTTAAGGTGAGGTTCACCAGGCTTCTCCAGGGTGGAGGCGCCCTCTCCCCTTTGAACGTAGTACGTGATTTACTAAGTGGCATTTTGAGGTTGTGTGATTATCCTGTTCCCCAACAATCTTTCACGCACTGTTTCAGCATCCAGCGGCAATTCTTTGTGGGTGGCAAATCCCAGTGCCTGTGTTTCTTTATACATGGTTGACATTCTTCAGCGATGACCTTCTGCACCTCCCTTTTTCATTTCATGGACGTTTGCCACATGGCATTCCCGTCATTGTGCATTTCGATGCTCAGCGACCTCAGATTTGCAAGTGGGAACCCCTCAAGCTTCAGTGCCCTTTTGCCAGGTTTCCGTGAGTTTTTGAGCACTTCCTTTCTGGCACAGAAAGAGATTCTGGACTCCTTTCCTGCCTCAGCCTTGTCCCATTCCGCCGGGGTGGGTACTTAGAAATTATGCTCTGAGTGCCGGGTGCGCTCAAGGCACCGGACTCCTGGCTTCCCGGCCCTGCCTGATGTCAGAGCCAGGAAATAGAGTTTTCACCAAGTGGTGGGTTTGTCATGTTAAAGCTAAGGCTAATCCAATAATTAGATTCTTCTTCCCCTTCCTCCCTTCCATCTTTGCCTCTTGCTTCTCCACAGTGAGAACTCTCTTCTTAGTAGCATCAGTATATTTTCCTAATCGATATTAAACACAAAATTGTTTGAGAATTGCTATACCAATACCACTACCAAGCACAGACAATTATTAAATGTAGTTCAAGATTTCTTTGCCCTTCTTTTTTTGTTGTTGGTTGTTTTTTAATCTTTACCCAAGGAAATTTTTCCATTGATTTTATTTTAGAGAGAGTGGGAGGGACGTAGAGGGGGAGAGAAAGGAAAACATCAATGTGAGAGAGACACTCGATTGGTTGCCTCCCGCCTGCACTCTGATCGGGCCGGGATGGAACCTGCAAGCCAGGTATGTGCCCTTGACTGGAAACCAAACCCTTGACCCTTCGGGGCACGGGCTGATGCTAGCCAGGACTCTTTGCCACTTTTTATTTTTCTACGTGTCCCACCGGATATGTACAGAATACTAGATTTTAAAGTTACTTGAATCTTTTTTTCTTCTGTGTGGTTATGTTACTGATTTGTATATAGTTGCATTAATTTATTTCTGTTTCTATTCAGTTTTAAGGGTTTCCCCCTTGCTTTAATTTTTAAATATGTAATATATTAACATGGTTCAGGTCACAACTATGTAAAGATATGCTCAGAGAAATCCTACTGCCCCCCCCCCCCATGGCATATAATTTGTTTCTGTTTTATCTTTCTTCTTTCTATTTGCTGTTATAAACAGATACATATGGTTATTTCTAACTCCCTTTCTAAACAGCAGATAACTCATACCATGTACTCTTTTATACCTTGTTTTTGTCAATCAACCATGTCTGGAAATCATTCCGGAGACACCATCCTCATTCCTTTTGTACAGCTGCGTAGTGCTCCATGGGGCAGAGGTGTGGCATTGCATTTGGCCACTCTTTGATGGTTAGTATTTTATATAGTGTGGTCTGGGGAGGGTCTCTTTAAAAGGGTGATATGTAGACTTAAGCAAGTGAGGGAGCAGGCCAGGTGACTGATGGGGGGTGTGTGTGGAAGCAAAGCCCTTCAATAGGTTTCAAGCATTTAAGGGACTTCAAGGAGATCTTTTTATTTTTATTATTTATTTATTTTAAAATATATTTTATTGATTTTTTACAGAGAGGAAAGGAGAGGGATAGAGAGTTAGAAACATCGATGAGAGAGAAAGATCGATCAGCTGCCTCCTGCACACCTCCTACTGGGGATGTGCCCGCAACCAAGGTACATGCCCTTGACCGGAATCAAACCTGGGAACTTTCAGTCTGCAGGCCAACACTCTATCCATTGAGCCAAACCGGTTATGGCTATTTATTTTTTTAAATATGTTTTTATTGATTTCAGAGAGGAAGGGAGAGGGAGAGAGAGCTAGAAACATCAATGATGAGAGAGAAACATCGATCAGCTGCCTCCTGCACGCACCCTACTGGGGATGTGCCCGCAACTCAGGTACATGCCCCTGACCAGAATCGACCCTGGGACTCTTCAATCTGCAGGCCAACGCTCTATCCACTGAGCCAAACCAGCTAGGGCTCAAGGAGATCATTTTGTTGGAAAAGAGTGGGAAAGGAAGTTGTAAAAGTCGTCAGGGCTGGATCTCAGAGATCAAGTTCTGTGGGCCCTTTAACGACAGTGACATTTTTTTACTCCCAATGAAATGGAAAGTTCTGGAGGGTTTTGAACAGGAATGAAGTTATGAGGAATCATTCTGGGTGCTGGGTGGAGAGCAGTCTGGAGAGGGCAGGAGCAAAGGAGCAGCTTGGAGAGGGAGGGTTGAGGCAGCGGATCACGCAGATAAGGATCAAGACTGGAGGAAGGAAGGACAGAAATGGGAGCGACTGGGCTGTGGTTTGAAGGTAAAGCCGGCAGGATTGGGGGCTGGTTGCAGCAGTGGGCTGTTGAAATGTGGTCAGGGCAAGTAGCAAGCTCAACACCAGGAAGTGATGTATTTGCTCTTCTCAGCAGAGCCTGCCCTGTTCTGATGCTGTTGAGGTCTTATGGGCCGTTTTCCTTGCCAGCTGTCTCCCCAGCTAGATTCTAGTCAGGGGTGGGCAAACTTTTTGACTCGAGGGCCACAATGGGTTCTTAAACTGGACCGGAGGGCCGGAACAAAAGCATGGATGGAGTGTTTGTGTGAACTAATATAAATTCAAAGTAAACA